GGGGGGTCAGATCTCTCTTGGAAAGTCCCTAATCCCGTCATGGGGGTTCCACCCTCGTGACCTAACTCCCTCCCAAAGGCCCCACCTCCAAATACCATCGGTGGGGGCAGGGACGGGACTAGGGCTTTAACATAAATTCTGGGGGAGCCATTCAGCCTGTCCCCTCTACACACACGAGACTGAGTTACACAATTTTCTGTGAACTTTATTGACCCTTGCAGGATACAGTACCTGTGCTTAACACACCCTGCAGTACTCTCCCCATTTATTGCCATGTTTTATAGCAGAAATATAGAAGCCATATTTTTTTAAGGAAATATAAAAATGTTTATAAACGGACCACGTTTTGCCAAAAGCAAGGTACAAATGCCACATGAAGAACGAACTAGACACTTCACAAGACTAACTGGACAACAAAACTGTTGGATTCAGGTGTGTGGCATGTGGTTACATCGAGATAGTCGCAGCTACCTTGCTTATTAGCGCGGCCAGCAGGGACGCAGAAAAGACGATTTCGAGAAGGCGTAAAAACCCAGCCGGACACAGCCCACTGCCTGTTTCCAAAAGGCAGCCGCTGGGTTCCACGAAGGCCTCTCCCACGCTAGGCGCGCCGCAGCCGTCTACAGTCTGTAAGTGGACAAGCTGTGGCCACAGGGCCTTGGCATCAACAGGCCTCCAAAAGCTAGCAAATCCATCCTGGACGCTGGGCTCGAGGGTCTAATGGGCAGCAGAGGTGATGTTGTCTGAGCCGGGTTCCACTGTAGCTCCGGTCCCTGGTCCTACAAAGACTGAAGTGGCTCCGCCAGCGCCGGCCTCCCCCGCTCACGAGGCCCTTGAGGGGGCACAGGTCCCACATGCCCTCAGAGGCACAGACCTCAGCTTGTGTGTGCACAGAAAGCAGCCAGCCAGAACGTGGGGAAGAGAGCCACTTTTCACACCCTCCCAAACCCCATCTCCCCCCAGAAGCTCAATCAACAGAAGACACTCACTTAAGGTCTACAAGACTAATCTGCTTTGCCTGGGAGACGGCTCGGTGCGTTACGGTCTAGCGACTGGAACACGTGCTGACCCTTCACACCGATTCGCTTCACCGGAATAATCCAGTCTCCCAGTCAGCAGGACCACCGCTTCCATCTGAGACTGGCTTTGCGTGTGATCCTGAGGTCACTGTCCACCTGCAAAGTGAACTCTAAATCAGAAAGCTGCTGTCTGCACCGGCTGGCTGACAATCAGACAAGCCGCCCACTCCGGGGGAACAGCGCTTCGCTTCTTTGAGCGATTCTCCCGCGGTGGACAAAACGGATCTTTGGCTTATGCCTCACACAGGGAAACAAACTGTTTGCTCGTACAAAACATTCTGTTGAAACACGGAATGAAACATTCTCAAGTCCTGTCACCCAAGTTAATATTCCTGATGCAGAAACCCACACAGAGAGTCAGCAATTCATTCAGTTCTATTTCCCCCCACCAAAATGCATCCCTCGTAGAAATCAATCATTCCATTTCTAATTAAGAAATCATGATTTAATTTTAGACTCTGAAATCTACACTCCATCAGCACCTCTAGACAAGCAGCACACGCCCAAACGTTTCCGGCCCAGGGCCTCTGCTCTCCCCTGGAACTTCCAGGCCGCTGTGTTGGCACCTACCAGACCTTCCATCCCAAAGTTTACCCGGTACCTTCCTTGCTCCCAAAATCCTGTGTCTTCCCCTTGGAGAACTGCTACGCCAGCAAGAGAGGACAACGATTTGTATCAACAAACGCAGAACAGTGCCACGTGCACCTGGTCAAGTATTACTGCAGAAACTCGATGTCCCATCCCAGAGACCCAGAAATTTTTCCTCCTGCCTCCCACCTTGGCAAAGCCAGGTCCTGCCACAAGCCCAGAAAAATACGGACCCCTCCGGCTGACAAAGAGCAGACCCGGGCTCCTTGAAGAGAACAAAACAACCCTTAAGGTCCCTGGGAAGAGAGAGCGATTTGACAATGAGCAATATTTAGCTCTACCTTCTCAATGACCAATCTTGTCTGAACGGTGCAGAGGGAGCAGACCCGGACATGCGGCAGGTTCACGGTGGGCTCTTCTTTCTGGAAGCGCTGAAATGTCTTACCCTCTTCACACACACTCACACACACACACTCACACACCTCCACGACAGGTGCACTGCCCTCTGAAGAGTCACGTTTCAAGAGTCACACTGCAGAACAAGTGCGTTATAAAATTTATTCATGTAAGCATTCAGACACTTGTAGGTGGGCAGGATGATACGCGGGTTTCACAAGGAGCGACAGGAGATCCTACCAGAAAGGACGGTGCAGCGGGCGCGGGGCTGGCAGTGGCACAATTTCAAACAAATGTTAAGACGAGAGCACTTCATCGGGGAGCAACTTAAAATAATTAAAGCTTCATGAGGCCAGATATGTTCCGATTTAAAACACTAAGAAATAGTACCATCAAATGAAAGGAAATCAACCTCTACGGGGACCAAGAGGGCTGTCGGGCAGACGAGAGGGCGGTGTGCATGTGTGGAGGTGCAAAGAGTGTTCGCAGGAGGGGTGCTTATTATCATTAATGGCAAACCCTGCAGATACAAAAGAAAACCCAAATCACTGATCACAGAATTCAAAATTTACATGTAATAAAGGCAAGGCAAGAGACTCGAGTTACGGCCTGTCAAATATTTACTCCACTGACATTATCTACAGAAGCACTCGGCCAATTTGTACACGGGGACTCCTGACACACGCCAGAAGGGTTTCCGTAAAAACGACACTATATACAATCTGTACACTGACCCACCAGAGCGATTCCCCATCTCCCGGGGAGGGGAGTGATCAACTTAAAGCAGGATACCTGAGGTTTCATTTCGGATGTGGCCTTATCGTGATCCCACATATACATTTCAGGGCCTGTTTTTGTTTTTAAAGACACTTTCCTTGATATGTGCACACTGGCTAAAATTAAAAACAAGAACCATAAAATAAAATGATCGCTTGAAGGAGCCGACCTGACCCACCCCCCCGGAGACTTCACGCGGTGCAGGCCGGGAGAAAGGGCGGCGCGGGGCCCCGGAACGGGTGGCACGGGGTGGGAGGATGGCCCCCGGATGGCGCACCACTGCAGCCGAGTCAGCAAAGGCTCTCGTTGACTTTGTACGAGGAGGATGAAGAGGAAAAAAAGAAAAACAAAACCCCAAATGCCAAAGGAATTTCAGTGGGATGAAGTTCCTCCACCACTTAGAGAATATCTAGAGGGGGAGAAAAAAAAAAGAGAAAGAGAAGTGAATGTCATTTCTGTAACCTCCGTGCAAAAATCCAAACCACCACCCAAATCCTACTTTTGCTGGGCAAGCCCAAGTCATAAAAAAAATTAGGCAAATGTCAGCGGGTTAATCACTAAACAATGCATAAAAACTAAGAAAACTGATTTCGACACAACTTTTCACAGGTTAAATTCAGTCCATCGAAGAACTGAAAGTCTATAACGGAAAGTGAGAACACGTTCGGTCTCCCAGGGGGGAAAGAATTGAAGAACAGAACAATAAATGGCGTGGCTTCGCTTACAGTCCGTTTTTTAAAATTAAGGAATCAGTAAAACCCAAACACATACACATGGCTGGATTACAGATGGGCACAAGAAAACCCATTTTGGCCACAAAAATATCGATGCTTGTTCAAGTAATCCACTTCCTAGAACTGTTTCAGAAATGGGGTCCAAAGAAGGAGCCGTGTATTTTGCACAAAGATGCCTCTTAGATTTTTTGTACTTGTAAAACAGGGAACAACTTTGATGTCCAACTGTAGAGAAACGGTTAGACAGACTAACCAAATTTTTAAACAGATTAAAAATTGTAATTATAGGGGTGCCTGGGTGGCTCAGTTGGTTAAGCATGCAACTTTGGCTCAAGTCATGATCTCGTAGTTCATGGGTTCGGGCCCCGCGTTGGGCTCTGACAGCTCAGAGCCTGGAACCTGCTTCGGATTCTGGGTCTCCCTCTCTCTCTGCCCCTCCCCTGCTCTCTCTCTAAAATAAACATTAAAAACACTTTTTTAAATTAAAAAAATTGTACTTATATTTAGCAACATGAGAAATACACACAAATGTGTACATAAAATTATACAGGCAGTACACATGTATAGTTTCACATGCACAATTCATTCTAAATACTATAGAATATCAAAAACTTATATGTGCACTAATTTGGAGACGTAAAAAGTTGGGCAAATTTATGATCTGTATAGAACAATGGAAGCCAATGAACAAAACTGATATTCCTAACTGGGCTGCACTGGTGGGGTCACGGCACTTTCTTCTGGTTTCTGTTCGTTCTGCAGTACTATCTTGCTCTGGAATAAAAACAAAAAAGGAGCGGGGTCCTCTTATGGCCAAGATCCCCTCGGCTACCTCAAAACAGAGCCCAAGTCATAGGAGAGGGCTGAGGACCTGTTCAATGGAGAGAATGTCAAACATTCCAACCTCTGGCTCCTCTTTTAAGGCATTAAAATACTTGGCACCCTCCCAGAGAAAGGATCACGGAAGATCTTCTTGAAAAGCAGGCTCCGACCACAGATCCTAAAACTCATTTTCCAAGAAATATAAACGCCTAAGCCATGGGAGGAGTTGATGCCATGCAAAAAGAGCCACGCGTTAATTCAAATTAAGACACAGAAGTCTCTGAAATGCTTTAGACAAAAATCGTTTATTTTTTCTGAGGTGATCCACTGAGGGACCGCCTTTATGGAGCTAAACGGGAACGAGGCAGCAACAGTGGTCACTGTGGCATGGTGGCATGTGGGTGGGGAATACACAGGAAGAGCTCGGGGGGCCTCCAAGGAGTGAACGGACAGCACCTGCTAATAAGCCTGTGGGGACCCAGCTAAGAGCCCCCCAGGAGCAGGGTCCTCTGCTGGTTGCAGAGGAGAGCGTGTCTGCACATGACAAAGGAAAGGAAAACAAGACAGAATGGTCTGGAGGCCAGAAGAAAGAACGTGGACTAGTGTTTGGCGAGTACAAATTTATTTATTTCTTTTTTATTTTTATTTTTTTAACATTTATTTATTTTTGAGACAGAGAGAGACAGAGCATGAACAGGGGAGGGTCAGAGAGAGAGGGAGACACAGAATCCGAAACAGGCTCCAGGCTCTGAGCTGACAGCACAGAGCCCGACGCGGGGCTCGAACTCACAGACCACGAGATCATGACCTGAGCCGAAGTCGGACGCTCAACCGGCCGAGACCCCAAAATGTGGCCAGTTCACACTGAGACGTGCTGTGAAGCGTAAAACGCACCGGACTGCAAAGACCTGGTAAAAAGCAGGTGCGAAACGCCTCCCCGGTAACAGTGTGCACCGACCACGTGTCGAGAAAGATGTGGCAAGCAGTGGGTTAAAAAAATCTATTATTACAACTAACTTTACCTGTTCCGCTCTTCCGGTTTTCTCACGAGGTAACTAGAAAACCTGAAGCTCTGTGCGTGGCTCACACTGTCTACTGGAGAGCACGGGTGGAGATCCCCTGGGTCCACAGTGCCAAGGAGGGAGCAGAGAGATCAACAAAAATGCACAGGCCACACCCCCGTGCCCCGGAGCCTCGGGGAAATCGGGTCACGTGCGGGCATCCCTGCCAAGCATCTCAGGCAGTTTGAGACAACGTGGAAAAGAGTCCTAAAAGGGACGCTAGGAAAGCAGCAAACCAAACCAAGACCAAACACAGAACCACCAGAACCAGCCACGTGATTTTACGGTTCCTTTTAACAGGAATTTTCGAAACACAGCTAGAATGGGGAGCGAAGGGAGTCCAAACTGCTCCGAGAAATGAGAAAAGTGGCCATTAAGTTATGATGAAGGAACAGGGGGCAGCCGAGGAGCTGAGAAGCATCGTCTCACGACCAACAGCCAGTGAGCCCTCTAACAATGCCACACGACCGTCCCTGCACGTGCACGCGGGACGGTACACGCAGACCTGTCAGCCCCTGTGCGGGTGAGCGGACGGGTGACTGCAGCTCTCTCTTCCTTTATGCCTCAGATTTGTTCCTGTCAACAGCGGGGAGGGGGGTAAACCCGAAAGTGTAACGGGGTCCTTCCAGCCTCAGAATAGGCGGCGGCCACATAAACGGGCCTCATTCTCCAGCAGCCCTCGAGCACCGGCTGGGAAGGCCAGACACCTTCTACAAAGGAGCCTGTGGCCGCGGGGACAAACCTGCAGGGAGGAGTGAGGCCGGGCCCCTACATCCCCCTTCACCAGGGCTCGGCCCCTGCCAGAGGGCAGCCCCTTCGGCCATCACTTCCAAGTGGCAAAAGGAACCCAACGTGCCCCCAACTTCCTTATGTGTTGTCAAGGCAGCCTCTCTGGGAAGAGCTGAAATGTTCCTCACTGTCACTGAGGCTCGGCCTTGCTCTGGAAGGGGCTCGGGAGCCTGGACAATTCACAATTCACCTGGAAGGTATTTTTTGTTTTCTTTTTTAAATTTTTTAAATGTTTGTTTACTTTTGAGAGCGAGCGACCGATTGCAAGTGGGGGAGGGGGGGGGGCAGAGGATCCGAAGTAGGCTGTGCACTGACAGCAGAGAGCCCGATGTGGGGGCTTGAACCCACGAGCCATGAGATCATGACCTGAGCCAAAGTCAGACGCTTAAGCAACTGAGCCACCCAGGTGCCACAAAGGAGGTGATTTTCAAAGCCATGACGTGGCTGGCTTTTGGGAGAGTTGCAAAGGTTTGGGGGTGCAGAGCAGAGCCTGGGTCACAGCACACCTCCCACTCTCTCCAACCCCCCCAAATGACTGCCCTTCCGCGGGAGTGACATTGAAGCGACCTTCACAAGGAGGCTATCGCAAGTCTGAGAGTGGGTGGGGAAGCCCAGGCCGTCCCCCACCCCCACCCCCACCCCAGGGCCACAGGCAGGGCAGAGCACACCTGCCGACACAGCAGGGCTCCCGGGCACCGGGGGTGGGGGGGAAGAAGTGGCCTAGGCACCCGAGGAAGCGAACACGCCCATGTCCTAACTCACCGAGCCCCAACTTCTGGCACCGTGGGCCTGACTTTGAAAGCAGAAAACCAAGCGCATTACAAACACATGGGTAAGGAGCACACCTCTCCAGCTGAGGGTCAGGCTGCCTCACTAGGAGCAGACAGGCCTTTTAAAGGCACTGGGCGGGGCGCCTGGGTGGCGCAGTCGGTTAGGCGTCCGACTTCAGCCAGGTCACGATCTCACGGTCCGTGAGTTCGAGCCCCGCGTCCGGCTCTGGGCTGATGGCTCGGAGCCTGGAGCCTGTTTCCGATTCTGTGTCTCCCTCTCTCTCTGCCCCTCCCCCGTTCATGCTCTGTCTCTGTCTGTCCCATAAATAAATAAAAAACGTTGAAAAAAAAAAAAAAATTTAAAGGCACTGGGCATTTACGTGGTAAGAGCTACAGTCTCACAAAGTCTGTGGTCCTTCCATATTCCTATCATTCTTTTACAGTGATTGAGATCTATAACTCAGAACTTTCTGAAACTTGATTCTGTTTCAACCATGTGGTGGGAAGCTAACAGCACCCGACCGGGAACGAAGCGCCCCAGGGACAGAGAGGGTTGACCAGCAGTCCCTTGGAAGGGCAGAGAGAGCCACGGGGCAGACACGGCAGAGCCCTCCTCCCTGGACACAGTTACCTCTGCAGCCGCTGGACGAGCTGGGCCACCATGGTGTCCGAGATCCCAGGGCAGGCCTCTTCCGCCAGGTAGATGGCCCCGCGCAGTTCCTCTATGGGCCCCGTGTTCCCACCACACGACTGGCTCTTCTCCTTCAACTGGAAACACACAAACACAAAGAGCAGCATGACCCACGTGGGCACGGGGATCGCCGAGCGCCTCCTATACAGGGTTACATGACGTGCCAGCCCAGACCGCTGCCCCCTTCCGTTCCTTTCCAGGAACAACTCCGTGACAGCACTCTGTACAGGAAGGGCAGGAGTCAGACCTACGTCACCACCTCTGCTAGCGAGAAACAGAGACAGCTGGCCTTCTGTGCATCTTTTCAAGATCTGATCGAGGCATCCGTCCCTCTGCTCATTCCACTTCGACCTTAACCTCTACCAGAAAAGCAATCCCAAAGTCGCTCAGCTCTGGCTTCCACAGCAAAGCTGCAACGTGCACTGTGGCTTAGATCCTGGTGGTAAGGGGCTGGCTCTGAAGGCTTCAGCAAATGGCCTTTCTGGACCCGGGGGCTGTCAAAACATTCTCCTTCGTGCAACCAACTGGCACCCCTAAATTCTGGGAAGCTGGCATCCCTATCGGCCCCTCTGCCCCCATAAGAAATCACGACGGTGTCCTCAGCACCGCCTCACGTGAGGCTGATGACTCGTAAGCCCTCTCTGGGATAGATGTGACCAAGACGTGCCCCATGACAAGGAAAGCTGTTCCAGCACCAGGCAGCAGGTGCACGGCTGAGCCTCTCCAAACAAGAGCCCCCTCCTCGATTTCACCTTTAGGAAATCATTCACCTTTAGTTTCGGCTTTCAAGCTGCTGGGAACACATCACTCCCGGCACCAACCCCATCCTGACCACACTTCCCCCTTCCGCCGGCTGAAGGGGCACACGAGGGAACCGAAAGCCATGGCGTTGGAGGGGCCGCGGGAGGGGGTTCGCTCGCTGGGCTCCTGCTGGTCACAGACTGTGGTGCGGCAGACCCGGAGGTGGCCACCTGTGTCTGTCTAGGACTCCCCATCACTTAACAACCACAGAGAACAGCATTTACAAGTCCTTAGTGTGTAACCTCTGCCTTCCCCTGTTTCCCACTCGGTTTTCCTCCCTTGCTTGATCAGCCCCCGACTGGAGTGAGCCACCTGCACCCACTGATGTCAGGAACATGCGCATCCGCAGACACGGGGTTGAGGAGTTTTGGAGTATGATGTAAAATGACACACACTGAACACTTCAAACACGTGGTTACCAAGTACTACTAATAAAAACAAAGAAAAGACACCTGTGACTTTACCTTCAGGCTAGCAGGGAAAAAAAAATCAAAATCAAAGCAGTATTCCATTTAGGATTAATTCATTAATTCAAAATAATGATTCCAGAACAGTTTCTTCACATGCGCCACGAAAAATACATGGCTTCAGACAAACAGGAAATACCTATGCCATTTTCCCAAACTGCCTGACGCTGGTGGAGCGCCAATGGCAAGATCACAGGGGAGCAAGGGAACATCCAGAAAGCCTGAAGGACCACTCTCCCAAACTACACAATAATGAGCAAGATGGTGTCTTATGGACAGAAGAGGAAGAATGCAGGTACCCAGAAAAATCAGCCAGGACGAGAGCCAAAGAGGGACACAGAGAGGCCTCCATCTGCCCTGTGGGAAACCCGTGCGTTCAGTGGTTTCAACTCCACACTCCAGGCCCCTCAGGCATGTTCGAGCCTGGCCCCTCAGCAAGCATGGCCCCTCAGGCAAGTTCGAGAGGGCAGACCCTGGGCAGGGGACGGACTAGGAGCTGGACGAAGCCAACCCGGACACCGGGCGGGGGGAGGGACCTTGCCAAGGGGGAGTCACTGTGTGAACTGAGGTTCAGGCCAAGTGGAGTGAGCAGGGCGGGGAGCCTGTGTGTATGGAGGCTCCCCTGCGGAGCTCTGAATCACCAAACAGAAGGTACTAGAGTGCGACTCGTTCTGAATTATCTTACAGGCAGCCTGAGTGTGTGTGTGTGTGGGGGGGGG